CCCCCCCGGGTTGATTGAAAACTGCTTTACACATTTGCATTCTCAGGTTTCAGTTCTAACACTGAGGCAAGAAACTGATTGAAATGGGTCCAGACGATCAAATCAGTGTTTTTTGAAATGAGCAGCAACTCTCCACCTTATGTACAAGTGTAGACTTTCTTATGGGTCAATCTTTCATATGGTTAAGTTAATAAGGCTGAGTAAGCAAGACATGAATTGGAATGCTGGGAAAGGAAAATAACTCTGCAGATTCAGGAAATCACTCATTACAAGCTGTTTCCAATTGCTAAACACACCTGCATAATTCATTGCCATCCATCAAGCTTAACGTAGTTGGGTGTTGTGTATTACTAGGTGCTTGATATCCTTTTCAAAGTTGTTAGTAACAGAGAAAAAATAGTTACTGAAGCACAAGTGATTGCAATATATATTTTAATCCAGTGGTCATTACTCATGAATTTACAGTTTGTAATACATTAAATATTAATACATCACTTACATATGGCTAATATATACTTATTTAAGTTTTAGCTTATATCCCCAGAAAATCAAGTTCCAGTCTATCAGGATTCACAGAAACAAACAATATGCTCAGCTCCATAAAGTCATAGATATCCAAACATATATATTTTAATGGGATATACTGGGGCTAGTAACAGTCATTTTAGGAGCTAGGCTTAACATACCTAAACATAATGGCTTGGATCTGAGCTAAATTAAGTTAAGGAAGTTAGTACCAGCAACAAACACATAAAGGAATTTTGCTTCTTTCTCCTCTTTGCAGCAATTTTTGCTTCCTGAAAATCACTTCTGAAAGATAAGAAGGCTCTTCAGAACAATGCAGAAAGGTGAGTATAGACAGATGGGGAAGAAGGGAATTATCCCCAAATCATGTGAACTTTACTCCAAAATCCTTCAACCACAAGCTCACATTGTTTACCGCCATATGACACTTGGTGGGTGTGGATGTATGTGTATGTATCTGTGTATCTAGAGGGTATTTACTTTCATCCCATAAACTGCCTTAAATTCACTAGTTATAGGATCAAAGCTGCTGTCAGTTTGAAATATCAGTTCAGCTTATTTGCAGGGTTATCTCTCTTGCAAGCAGAGTACCATCTGGACAGGTCCATTCTTGGATATATATGAGGGATCTTCCTCCGTTCCCCACAATTTTAACGAGATTATGTGGATTTGAACCAAATGAGTGGGAAGATTCTGATGGGCCATACTTCCACTGCTTGCCCCTTAATCAGTTCCAAAAACCAGTAAGACTAGTTGGAAATATATCAGTCTGGTATTGTTTGAATTCAGAGTCCAGCCAATAGAAAAACAAATCAATAAATCATAGTTCAGCTTTGCAGGGACTGAGATGGAGGAGTTTTTGGGAATGAGGCCATGTGTCTGACTTTACAGAGGCCAGATCTGTCTTTGAAGGTATCCTTTACTTGAAGGACTATTCAGTCCAAATCTACTTGAAAGAGAAAGAACCCTTAGAAGGAAGAGCAGGAGCCTTGAAACAGCTCATCAGCATCAACAATCCACACAGCAAATTGTGCAAGCATACATGTGACTAGCAGAGAAGTATTTCATTAAATTAGAACATATACATATAGATATAGAAATAGAAATAGAAATAAATATATGCAAATCAGTACCCTCTCTTGGCCTCTTTTGGGATAATGCACTTCCCCTTTTTTCTTTTGAAGTAGTACATAAGGGGTCACTTACTTTTTGGCCGTAGGTTTTTGTGTCTCTAGAGATGGGCACTTATTGTCAGTCTGGGTAGATTTAACACAGCATTGTACAACTTGCAGCCCAACAAATTGCCCCCAACCTACTAGATATGTATTACAACCTGTTGTATGCTTGAAAAACTCCCTGGTTTTGCTGTCCTGGGAGGAAAAATATTTGGTTGATTGCCAAATGCAACAGTCAAGGTTGTTCTATAATTTGTGAATACCAGGTTGGTTTCCAAATTCTTTGACAGAGATGTTTGATTGATTATATGCCATCAACAGAATTGTCTTATTGTAGGATATTCTACTTTCTAACATTCCTCATGCGTAAATAATGCAACATCTGATAATGATTTGTGCTAAATTCAAAACTTACTTGTGGAGCCTAGATCAAATTGGGAATTGTTCATATATACATGTTTATCTCTTGAGTTTATGCAAGTATGATTTGCATCAATTTCCCTGAGCCATGAAGCAGAAAATGAAAGCACGACTTTGCACTCACTATACTCATTATACCTCACAAGCAATGCCTTTCAAGGGAATCTGTTCATACATTCAGCTCTGCAAAATCAAATGCTGAAGAAGGAAATAATGCACGTAATGTGAAGTGCCTAAAATTAGTCTTGATAGCTGCGCAATCAAGCTCAGAACTTTTCCTCACAACTTTTGATAAGTGTGATCTGCAAGAATATTAGTAATAGTCTTAGCTGACCAGTTCCAAGTCAGTATAGTCAGACAGTATTTCCTTTTATTCTGTCTTCTTTCTCCTTATAAAAATATGTTCCAGACACCTCATCTTGCTAGATTGCAGACTATCTCTTGCTTTGATAGTTCCATCATTTTCTTTCCATCCCAGTTCCAACAGTCCCAGATAGTGTATTGAAGCACAACACAGCCACACTTGAAGTTCCAGAGCTGATCCTCAGTTCTCACTTGAGATAGTTGCTTTGAACCTTGTTTAGAAGGTTATGGTAGAGTTGAGATTTAAGGAATCTCGGATAAGAGTCTCTCTCCATTAATACATACACAAGTCTCTGAGCCTCATCAAAACTTGAATGGGTGGGATCTTGAACCTTCTTAGCTACAGATTTTCTTATGTGAAAGTCAATGTTGACCTAGGGAACAAAAATGAAACTTCAGCATCTTTTTAAAAACTATCCCATGGATATAATGTTTAAAGTACAACCTCAATGTCATTTTAATTATTGCTAAATATTTACATATAAGTCTGGTTTCTACTTTAGAATTCTATTCATGTTAAGGAATTTTGACATGGTATCTTATAAGAGAACCTTGCAATTTTAGGATTGTGGTCCAACATGACTAGAAACTACTAGGTTGGGGAAGGAATTTCACACTTGGTAAACACTGGGTCATATGTTGGTGCTAGTCTGAAACCTGTTGGTGAATTTCCCCCTTGCTCTTAGTAAATTCAGATGTTGCCACCTTCCCTTCCCCAACTGTATTTTATTGTACCTTCTTTAATATAAAAATAATAATAATAAAAAATTATAATTATATCATCAAAATATGGTCTAGATATCATTTACTTTCAGTTTCAATTTACTTGTTAAACAATTGTGTGCTATATTATCCCACATTAAATAGTTTAAGTAATCTGATTAAATAGATTGGAATTGACATTACACCTTTGAGCAGCTATTGAGAAATGAAATAAATCCCAAAACAGAGTCCATAGTTCTCACTACACTGATATTGATATAGCTAAGCTATACACCCCTGAAACTTTGACATCTTTAAAAAAATGTTGATGGGGCTGGAATAGCTTGTAAAGGGAGACATTTAAGATCATGAGATGGACGTATGAAGAAGTAAAGATCACTGGTTTATGGTTCTCTATCCCATATTTTATGGTATACTGCTGGACATGTTTCTTCTTGACACTACATAAAGCTGAGCACAGTTTAGAAACCTGTCCTGGAATGTTTTCAGCAGTAAGGCAAACAGCAATATAGTCACCCATAATTCAATATACATATAACTGATACAGTTCAGACATTTTGCACATAGTCTCCTTCAGTAAGAAGAGAAGTTTGCATGTAACTGAGGCCTTATGTCATTAATAGCAAATTAAATAATTATTGTGGGATTTTATCCTTAATGTAGGACAGTCAGACTGTTCATGATTGAGGGACCTCATACTCACACAGGCCATACTGTCTTATATTTCAAGATGAAAGAAATAAAAACACTGAAGAGCTACCAAATCAATCTTAGAATAAATTCTACCATGTGAAAATGATTCTATTAGAGCATGAATATTCCTGGTCAATTATTCACAGTTCATTGATTTAGACCTTACTTGTTTTCTAGCATCTGACTGGACAAACTCTTGGTAAATCTTTTCTGCTTTGCCATGTAAACAATCAGCCTGTGTTTTCTTGTAGTCTTCACATGCCAGCCAAAATTCAATGTTTTCATCACTGAATTCTGATTTCAAAAATTCTCTGAATGTCTCTTGACCACCTACAGTGAATAGAAACAACAACATGATTTCAGCCATTGTCTTAAATCAGGTGGGGAGACTGATTTGGTCCTCCTGAACTACTTTTGAACGTCTTTCTCATTCTACTCCATGCAGATTTGATAATTTGGTCAAAATGGTGACTAGAGTTATTAGTGGGTAATCCAAAAAGAGTCAAGTGATCAAACTGTGAGCAGCTTCTCAGTAAATCCAATCACTGATTATAAATAGGTTGAAGTAATAAAAGATGAACATCCTACCAGTATTTTACAGAAAAGATAGAACAGCTGGGATTAGCTCTTTTCTAGATGGAAAAGTACTAGAAAGCTACAAGCACATATCAGTATCCCTCTGCAACTTCTCATAAGTGCAAAAGACAAAGAGGAAAAAAAAATCTTGTCTGATGTTGCCTCTTTAAAAAGATCAGAATTAACAGTAGTAATCAACAGATACACATAGTTACAGTCTCCATTAGTGTCAGAGAATATGGTTTGGATGTATTTGCCCATAAGTACATATGAAAAGTCATTAAACCAAGGGCTTACAGTATTTGGTTGTACAAATGGAATTAGTTGTTTAAATATCTGAAGAAGGGCAACATCAGTGGTCTGAAGTATGCTTCTCAGTCAAGGCATATTTTATGAAAGTGACAGCTGCATTTTTCCAGGTTTCTTTCAAGATTATATATTCTAAGTCATTAAAATGTTAGAAAGAATTGCTTACACTGTGTTGCCAGGAGCTTTTCTAGAGACTGGGACCACTGGATAATATCTTCTGCAGAAAGCCTGAAATGACACAAAAAATGCAAACTATTTGAAATAGCGAGACCTTCCCTGGAAAAGACTGAGATGTTGGTATATAGGTTTGGTGTCTATGCAGTGACAAGGAGAAAGAGAAATACTTTTTACCATTTTTAAAAGGTATATATATTAGATATTTTAATGCTTCTTATTTATTTAGTCACCTTCTACCTCATCTTTCTCTTCAACAGAGTATTCTATCTGGATAAGGCATATTTAAAAACAAAGCAAAAAGCAAAATCTAAAAATTTAATATTTAAGAAATTAAAAGGAATATTAAAATGAGTTAGTACTGAACTATAGTTGGAAGAAAACCAATCAGTGAGAAATGCGAGTATAACATAATATATTTTAAAATCATGTTTACATCCTGTCTTCTTCCCCACTGAATTAAACCAGTGTTGCCTTATGTAACTGGTAACAATTCCCCATCTGAGTCTTTTCCCTAGGATTAAATGAAACCAAAAGTGGAGGCCACAGTACTGGAGCCAGGGAGGGGAATCAAGTTCTCCCTCCCCTGTATTTATACACCTCACAACTAGTTTTTAAAAGCAACTTAAAGAAATGGGAGTTCCACAGCTGCCCAGAATCATCTTCAGCCTGACTTGAAAATTCTTTGAACTGAGCCTCAGAAGAAGCTCATTTGTTATCTGCCTCCATTTTCTCCAGCCAATGCCATAGCTGGGTGGGGATTTGATGCCATAATTTGATACATCAGCACCACACACCGCCCACTGTTACATCCTCTTGACAACCTACTGAGATCATCAACTGAGATAAACCCAAACAAAAGTATGTATTAATACTGAAACCAGCTACAAACAACCTTTGATTCATTCAGGATATTGTGTCGATATTACAACGTCATACTGACCATCCTATCTGATTTTAAACCTGGTCTGTAATATTTTACCCTGCCCTTACTGACTCATCCTTCTGTAAGATCATCATAGAGTAAGCCTAGAGGTTTATATCGGAAATAAGATGGCCTTTAAAAAAATAATGCTGTCATTATTGTGCTTTGAAGAGTTGTTAATCAACAAACATTGGGGAAAGATGGGAAAAATAATGCTGGAAACCAGTGGCAATATTGACTGGTTGGCAGATGTCTTGTGGAACACCTGAATGTGGACCTATCTATGTGTATGCTTAAGTGGAAGAGAAACTGATTGGATCACAATCATAACACTTGAAAAGGGACGATTCAATTCTTTTGTCCTCCATGGTCATCCCTGGAAAAGTCCTCCACCCCCTCCTCCAATTTCAAATAGTGATATATTACTGTCCATGGAAGCTTTTTTGCTCTTTTATCTATTTAATAAACTTGTTATACTGCAGACTACTAAATTGTCTCAGCAGTATACATGAAAACAAAACCCAAATAAATAAATAAAATAAACCCATCATAAAATAGTATCTTGGAGATTTGGAGATTTAATATACAAACAAAACAAACAAATGAGTAACATATTTGGAGTGTAGTGATTGTGGTGACGGAAGGATTAAAACTTGCCTCCCCCATGTTGGATTGTTCAATATTAACTTTTAAAAAATCTACTGCAAATGATAGATATAAATAAGTCTAACAGATCTGGGCTGCGAAAATCCTGAAGAGTACCGGATGACAACACAGAAGCATAAACACTCTAATCTCAATGTTTGCAGGGCAGATCTGGTAGCGCTATCTTTAAAATCTTGCATAATTAGGTCTTGGGCCTTATGTTAGCAGATGCTGGCTGGGATGGAAGCACTGTGCTCTGCCTCTGTTGGAAGATGGGGCGATATGTTCTAGAGAACATGTACTGCATCTCATAAGCTAGTCTGCTGCCATTAGGTATCCTTCACTAATCATGAAGTAAGATGTTACTGACAGTCCTCTTAGTTCAATGGATAGGATGAAGGATCATCACTTTGACTCTTGCCTTAACTGGCAAAATGTTTTTGGAGTAGCTTACAGAGACAGCTTTTTAAGTATGCTAAAGTGAGTCTTACAAAACATTCCTAATTTTTGCCCACCCTCTTTCTCACTAACAGATGCACACAGTCAATTCAGTGCATTCAGCATTGTGGAATAAATGGGGATACTTTTACATTTGAGCCTTCACGTGGTATGCATATGCTTTCTTTACATATCTTTGTTTGCCCTATTTTATACTGCAGTTAGAGCAATATAACTTGATACTTACATTACGTCTCTTGAGCTGGAATACTTCATGTCAGCTGATTCAATGGGTGGCACAAGACCCATCAAATATTTTTTCACATCCACACCCCTAAAACAAATTATAGAATATATTTAGTCACTTACTGTGAGTAAATCTAGTAGTCCTTTACAGAAATATATCAGCAAAATCCCATCCCAAAAAAGTTGTAATATAAGCAGCTGAGAGAAATGTGTTATTCTTATGGGCCTTCATGGAGTAACCATTTTGTGCAAAAGATAGCAACTAATATCAATGTCAGAATATTTTTGATTTGTGCCAGTTTCTTACAACAAGATGGTCAAATCATCTCACAATAAAGAAATGGCTAAGATGGCTTGGGGATCCTTTCAAACTCCAAATAAATATCTGGAGAAGGAAATTCTATCAAATAAATGAGCTGCATTGTTGATCAGCCCAATTTGCTCAGAATCCAAAGAAAGTACAGAACTATACTAAGTATTCCTCTTGATTTCCTCCCTTAGCTAATTTCTAAGGAAATAAGTTTGATGTGACTTTGGCAGAACTAAATTAATTAGAATTCTTATATAGCAATTTATCCCTATAGAGACATAATGCTAAACATTTTAATTTGTTGATTAAATTTAAATTTGTGGATTTGAATTTAACAAACAATAGCCTAGGGCACATTTTAATTTATGGAAATTGCAAGCTAATCATGTGCATGTTTATTCATTAATACATAACACTAATTTCAGTGGGACTTCTTTCAAGATTAATATACATAGAGCAGGTTTAAAAGTGTTTTATAGTGGGTAGATAGTTTTCTACAGCTTTTATGAAGTCCACAGTTCCTTTATTTTGCATATCTTATCATTTAAAGCCAGTCTTTGTATTCCATGCTGTTCTAGAGCCTGGCACTTGATCCTTCATGAGATGTATTTTACGATCAGTAAAATGCATCTCATGAAGTAGAAATCCCAAAGCTGGAAAGATCTCGTCTGATGTCCAAAGCTTGCATATATCAGCTACTATCATGGAAGAATGGCAGTGGTGGCTCAGAGCATTCTCTTGGAGATGGAGTACCTCTGGCAGGTTGCATCACTACTAAGGCTACTAGATTTGGACTACCAGAATGCAGATGGCCATTAGTTGGCAGCAAAGACAGTTTTTTATAACTCTTTGCTATCATCTAGAGGTTGCATCTGCTGTCACTGAGGTTGTCAGCTATGCTCACCCACAACCCAATTCTGCCTGCCAGTCCACCCTCAGTGTTTGATGCACTAGGCATTTGTCTAGGTTCACCTGTGGGCTCACCTCAGCCCTTCAGCACACCATGACCAGGTTTGGTTTTTGGTTTTTTTTAAAGGTTGAAGGCCTCATCAAGGACCTCTATGCCTGAGGATCCCACGGTGGTGGCCACCCCTGCCTTGACTAAATTTATTCTACTATTGTCTCCCTTAGGTCTACATATGGAGTCAAATCAGGAAGGGAATGGACAGGGAGGACAAGAAATGTATTTTTATGGCTGATAGTTGAAACTTCTAATCAGTTTATTTATTTATTAAATCTATGTATTTATTCAATGTAAAAGGCTGCCCAATTCCGTATAGACCCTGAGTGGTATTCAACATAGTAAGAATAAAAAGAACAATGTACATCCAGAAAAAAAGAAATCATGCTAATGTACAAAAACCTATATGAGGCTACCCTAACCAAGACCTGGGGAAACCACCAGGTTTTCACCAACCAGGTTTTCAATCATCAATCATCATCTCTGGGGGGATGGTGTTCTAGAGGGCAGGCACTGTGACAGAGAAGTTGCACTTCTTGGATCCTGACAGATGCCACTGTTTAGTCAACAGAGCCCAGAGCACATCCATCCTGCCCATACAGGACAGGCAGAAACTACCAGAGACAGGAGGTCCCTCAGAGTTACAATGAATAGCTTATCAGTGGTCTCCAATCACAGTGCTTTGATGGAGAGATGTTGAAATAATATACTACAGAACTGCTCTAACATTTGATTCTCACTACTAACCCAAAAGCAGAAATATTAAAAGAAGTTTAGCAGAGCCTGTGGAGTTTGAGAAATTGTTGAATGTTCAAGTCCCTTTTTGCCTCTGTTTCATCCACTTGAAGATGACACATATGCAAAGTTTTAATCATTTTTTAAAGTTTGTCATAACCCTTCTGAAATGTTTCATACTTCTTGCCTAGGCACTCATACATGAGAAATTACTAAGAAAAGAAATGGGGGGTGGCGCGACAATGATTTCCCCATCTAAGAAAGAATCAAAACTTTTCTTTCACAAAAAACATTGCCCTGTTGAACTGACATTTTGCTGCTGCTTTAGCTAAGACCACAAAAAACACCTAACAACTGTGTCTCTAAGCTGGAAAAACTGTTCTGGTGCGCGCGTGCACACACACACACACACACACACACACAAATATATCCTGTACCCATTCATATGAACACTGACGTGTTGATTCCCTTCCAAAAAGTGAATGCTGCCTGAAAATACAGTTGCATTCTGCTAAGAAATAAAAGTAGTGACTTTTTTGAATTGCTTAGTTCAAAGATTTCTGTACTGAGTTTGACTGGTATGACATTTATTCAAATGTCATTCTTTCATATAGACCCTAAATGTTGGATGTTTCTATCATATCCATTCATCCATTCATCCATTCATCCATCAATCCATCTATCCATCCATCCAACCATTGTCTCTCCAATTAAGGTTGAACAAAGATACATTTTGTTGATTATTAACATTAGGTTGGTTTATCAGAACTGGTAATTATAATTTTTATTTGGGTTACTGAGCAGAAACTCTAACTCCTTGCCATCTATTAATCATTCAGAATTTGCAACACAGATCAGATGTTCTTTGGATTTCTGATTCAGGATTTGGATTCTTGCCTTGAAATAAACCAGAAGGCTCCAGAACAGTTCAGGTCAAGCTTTTGCCAAATTGGGATCCAAAACCCAGTCATGTGATCTGAGTAGAAGAAACTTCTCCTAAGTATCTTTTTTCTTAAAATACATTTCAAAAGAGAAGATACACTTACAAAGCCTTCGTCTTCTTTCTGTGATCTTTGCTGTCTGCAATCTCACATTTCTTTATTTCAGATGAAGTGGTGTGCCACAGAAACAGCCAAGGCATTTTTAGTTTTCTCTCCTCAGGTTGTAATGCTTCTGCAGTCCTAACACCCAGAGGTCTGACCTCTTGCAGTGCTGATGGCTTTATATACTGACTCATATCACCTGCTTTGTAAGAAAGAAGCTTCTTTCCCACAAGCAAAGATACTTCCTTTTTTTTAAACTGTCTGATGACATGTGTAGAGTTTGGGACTTTTTTTAAAAAAAAGAACAACCCACAAAAACTTTTGGTTACTGTTAAACTAGATGGGACAGGTCTCATCTAGTTTAACATATTTTTTTTTAAATTCTTTCTTACAGGAGTTTTTTACTTAGTTACAGTCAAAGACCAAAACTGTTATACAATACAAGTAAACATAGATAAAATACTATTAATCATATATATATATAAACACTGGATAAGATATATATTATGTATATATATTATTGAACTACAATTTATTTCACTACAGTTTAATCAGAACTAATAATTAACTGAATTAATACCAGCATTAGGCCTAGGTCCTCCTTATAGCAATTGCCACTGAACAAAACTTAACCACCTTCTTAGAAATGTTCAAGACAGCAGTCCACTAACAGGTAATATACAGTAATTTTCCTTATCTAGTAAATACTTGGAATAGTTTGGAATTTGGTTTAGACATTTGTCTTGTGAGTGTATGCACAGCAGTAATAGCAGCACTTCGCTGAGCTTAGCTGATCTCAAAATGCTAAGGTTGGGCCTACATCAGTGAGAAGTCTCTAGGTTCTTGACTAGATTGGGAAGTCAAAAACAATTCCAAGTCAAGGCAATAGGAAACCACTTCCATACTGTTGCCAAATAACTACACAACTACACAACATGGCCATGTCCTTTATCTTTCCTTTTTAACAAATAAAGAGGTTTTTCACATGTGGGTGATCACAATGCTACTGAGGTTGGGGAAATGAAGAGAGATACAGTAGATGGGAAGAAGCCTTCAAGTGGGTAGGACAAATGTACAAAGAATTCTGTATGATTCTTCTGTCTATTTGTGTGGATGGGACACAGTAGGATGCTTTGCAATGAATAAAACAGTTGGGACAAATTGGGTATCGGTGTTAAGCTGCAGTTTGGCAAGCAACAAAGAATGGAAAAGCATCAATATTAGGGGGAAAGGGATGTGTGTTTTTACAGAACTCAACTCATGTTTTGTAGGTGTTCTGCTCATATTCAGTCCTCCCTACCTCTTGTCCCTCCTCCTTGAAATATACTATATTCTAATCTATATATCAAGGTTTTATTTTCTCCAAAAAATTACCTCAAACTTTCAAACACTCATCTAGTATATTTCAAAAGCATTGCAGGATAGGCAAGAAAGAGAGGAGAATTACTCGATTCTACTCTTTTCTTCTGGACCATATGTTCCACCCTGTTCCACCTCTGCTAAGAATCACAGCACAAACTAAAAGTGGATGAGAATCATCAGTTCTCCATCTGTACTAATGAAAAAATTAGCTTTTCTCCTTTGTCAGTCTGGCATAAGAGCCTTGAGGAGGAGGGAGAATGGATGTGATACTGATCTGATAGTTACTGATTGGTTGTACACCAAAGTCAGACTGTTGGGTTTTCCCTCCACCTTCACATGCTTTTCTTAAAAAGAAAAGATGACTCAGTCTGGAGGATGCCAAACCCTACATGCCAAAAAAGCCATATGGGCTTGTTGATGCCTTTGGGAATGGCCCCAGAATACGTGAGTGTGGAGGGAAAGCCCAACAGTCAGACTTCGGTGTGCAACCAGGCAGTAACTATAGTTATTCAGAACAATCATTAGATTTCTTATATACATACATACATACGCACAGCTGTACAATAGCCAATAAGGCTATTGTACAGCTGTGCGTATGTATGTATCTATGTATGTATGTATCGATGTACGTATGTATGTATATAAGAAATCTAATGATCTAGTGTTTGTGTATTGGTCCTATGGTAAAGGCAGGATAATCAGTTCTGTAATTACCATACTGAAATATGAAATGTATTAAAAACACATTTTATCAAGTGTCCTCTGCATAACATATGAAAGTTTGAAATGCCCAGATATATTTCAGGAGGCTTGACTAAAGAGAGAAAGAGAAGGTTTTCATTTTACTTCTGGATAAACATGCACCAGATTGCACTGCTGTCGCTCTGGGATCATTCCTAACTTTTAAATGGTGGTCTCCTTTCCAGAATCCTAGGGCAATGCATTTTTACATTCTCAATGGGCTTCTATTTGCCAAAATAAATGTATGCTGACTAATTCAATTCAACCTTCATTTTGCTTTTGTGGTTACTTACTGAAGATAAGCCTAGCACCTAGCCAACCTTGATCTCCGAAATTAAAGCTGGGTTGGGCTAAGTTAGTACTTGGATGAGAGACCTCAGGGAATACCCAGGTGGTTAGGTTGAATCTTCGCCATTGTCACCACCACCATCCACCCATTCTGGAAGAAAGCAAGAAAATAACATAATGGGCCTGTCCATGGAGTCACCAGCAATCAAGCTTGACTCAAAGAAGACTTTACTATTAATGCAAGGTACAACTGCATCTATTAAACCACAAGTATAATGTGTCAGGGCAGTTACAGATCCTTCTTATAGATAGGGTTGCATTTAAATCCTCAGCAATGGCAGCATTTTTTGAAAAAACTATTTATGCCATTTTTTCCCCCATTTGGGCTTCAATATAGTTATTAGATGGATGATATCTTGAATGCTCCAACATGTATTTCTAAAGAGGCTTAGGAAAACTAGGATCTGCTGATCTGGTAATGAGGCCAGGTCCATTGACCCAATCAACCAATTATGTTGATGATGACTGATGATGACTTTACAACCAAAAAGTAAACATGAGCATCAGCTCTGTGTTATGGGCATCTTGCATCCCATTTGTCTCAGGCAAGATGAGCCACTGTCCCCAAGTCTTAAGGATGCTCTCCCAAACATTTCCTGCTACCAAAAGATGACCACAGAAAATTCTTTAATAAAAGGAGAGTAATCTTGCTAACAAGATTTGTAGCAACAAGCAGGACTAGAAATGGACAAGCAAAGAAGCAAGGTTTTCTGAGCAGCTATTATTTAGCTGTACTGAGAACAGTTTAAGGTGACAGCACAAGGATTCTGATCACTACGTTTGCTTTCAAACATGAGTGGTGTGTTTGTGTGTGAGAGAGCAATTCAAAGCAGTAACATCTAGTTCTCTTTCTCCTGCACTTTTGGTGGAAAAAGAACTCAGCCTTTCACTTTTAGGAATGTGAGCGGCTTTGCAACTGGGCAATGTTTACACAATGTGAGGAGATTTATCAAGTGTCCTCTACATAACATATGAAAGTTTGAAATGCCCAGATATATTTCAGGAGGCTTGACTAAAGAGAGAAAGAGAAGGTATTAATTTTACTTCTGGATAAACATGCACCAGATTGCACTGCTGTCGCTCTGGGATCATTCCTATGTGTGTGAGAGAGAGAGAGACAGAAAGAGCAAAACTGAACTGAAGTCCTTCATGTCATTAGCCTTTCTTAAGCAAACCCTACCTGAACAGGCCAAGATCACACAGTATTAAGAACTGACAAAAGAACCAGCTTGGTGTAGTGGTTAAGGCATCAGGCAACCAAATGGTCCAATCCATAAATTACACAATGAGGAAAAAAATTATAAAATCAATGGAATGTACTTCCCAATGCATTTGCTTGGAGGATGTCTAAAGAAGGACTGATTTGCTTCTGTTTGCTTCTTTTCAAACAAGAAATGAATCATTTGTGAAAAATGTCAGCTTCTCTGATGGAAACTCCTTTTATGAAGAAAGATTTCTTCAGAGGGATGATGATATCTTAAAAATATCATCCCATCCATTTTTCGGTGCCCCGTTCCCCATGTTCTGATCTCATCAAATCTTTCAGCCTATTTCTGAAGTGTCAAAAGACAACATTTTATTGACCACATTATATCAGTTTGAGTTGTTCCTCTCAATGAAATCAAGCTATTGTTGGTGACATCCTGTCGGGTGCACCTTATTAATGAAAACAACAAAGTTAGGAAGGATTCTGCGGCTAGCAGCGAATGCATTAACTGCCTTGTATGTTCTTCTGTGTTCAGCCACAGGGATGCAGCAGTCTCACAGTAGCAACAGTGACATAAACGTCATCTGTCTGGTGGCTTTCCTGCAGCGCAATCTGTTCATGTTTGTAGGTAAACAGCAAACCACAAAAAGCAGACTTGTTTAATAAATGCTTTCCAACATTCGCACAGGGAACAGGAAGGTATTCAAAGGGTCTGAGTCAATTCATCTGAATCTGTTGGAGACTAGATTTATTTGGATTTAATCTATCGTGTGCCATTAGCATATTTTTTTCCTCCATAAATGGAGAAAAAGAGAATTAGGTTGGATTGTAATGTGAAATTATTCAGAGATGGATAGACAAGAGCTTCAGTCTGCCCTTCACAAATATCCCAGTTGGCCCATAGTATAATTTATTGACCCAAAGGCTTCCAACATCTAGTATGTATGTAGATACTTTCTTCAGGGTAAATTGAGATATATGACTTCCTGCCTTGTCTCTATCTATCTATCTATCTATCTATCTATCTATCTATCTATCTATCTATCTATGTCTATCATACTCTGTTTTCCACTCATTTCAGCAGAGGCTTTCACTGCATCTTGCTCTTAATACATCTCCAATGCTTGCTTAGAAGCCAGTTATGGCTGGGGCTCCCTGGTCCCTACCACTACTACATTGTTCTCACATCCCCAGCCATTTCCTTCTTAGACTTGGTTTCTGAATGAGGAAAGAATGCTGACCAATCTGCAAGCAGTATTTCCTCCTTCCTTCACCAAGTTCAAACTAAATTGGGCAAATCCAGTTCCCATCATGATCACTGCAAAGTTCTGTCATTAGTAAAATGGTGCTGGTTTAGAGATTACAGAGGTTAGGCTTGCTATTAGACCTGGGATGAATCTGGGAACCAAGAGGCCACAGCTGGCAATAGCTGTCCAAAGAAGAAAGAGGTCATATGTTAACTCTTTTTAATGAATGGTTT